TGTTTCGGCTATCGATTGCCACACAGCAAATGACCCTAAAATTCAGTAGCTTAAAGCATCTGTTTTAGATTTATTTATTTTTAATGACATTTATTTTATTTATTATTTTTGTTTTATGTGTATGAGTGTATCACCTGCGTGTGTGTGAGTGCACCCGTGTCGTGCAATGACCAGGGAGGTCAGAAGAAGCTGTCAGATCTCCTGGAACCGGAGTTATGAATGGTTGCTAGCCACCATGTTGGTGCTGGGAATCGAATCTGGGGTCTTTGGAGGAGCGGTCGGTGCTCTTAACTGTTGAGCCATCTCTCCAGCCCCTAATTACATTTCTTTTTTTAAAAAATTTGTTTTTATTTTGCATGTATAAGTGTTCTGCCTGCATGAACGTATGTACACTCATGTGTGCAATGCCCGTGGAGGACAGAAGAGGCTGTTGGATCCCTTGGAACTGTAGTTATAGACGGTTGTTAGCTGCCATGTGGGTGCTGGGATTCAAACCTGGGTCTTCTGCAAGATCAGTCAGTGTTGTTAACCACTGAGCCATCTCTCCAGCCCCCAGTCTACAATGTTTTAATGACCTCACCGTAAGTGAATTAGAAACATTCAAATGCAATTTACTCTAAAATAGATCTGGATGTTAAAATAAGGGACAGCTGGCAGTCAGGATTCTTCTAGTTTCAACCAAAGGGAGGTTTGCCCTTATCCACTATGATTAAAACAAATGAAACAGCTTTTAAAAAAAAATAAAATAAAATAAAGTATAGAAGAGGAAAATCTCTCAACACTTATATAAAGAGGAAAAGCTCATCACAGGAAAACTGTCTTTTTCACAAATAAACAAAACAATCAGTCATTGAGACGATACTTATTTGAAACAGTTTAATGTCTATATGTAGTTTGCAAAGCTATAACATGTGTCAACATGTACAGCTCATGAAAGCTACCATTGGAGTCTGGGCCTGGGTGGAAGTTCGGGCTATGATACAGCATTGAGGACATACTAGGTCACATGAACTCTGTTAATCCCTACCACAGCAGGGCAACTGTGCAGGCAGGTCATACCCACTGCACAGCTGGGAGAAGGAAGAGAGACAGAACGGCCACATGGCTAATGTGAGGCAGAGGCAGGATGTGAGGCAAGGACCAGGTCCCACAAACTGTGCTAACCTCTGTGACACATGCCCTGTTCTTGAAGGGCTCCCAGGAAATATATGACAGGTAAGATGTTTTACTGAAGCTCAGAAATGTTCCCATGTTGCACAGAAGCAGCACATAAGATATTCTCTAATAGCCAAATGCTGAAAGCAGCTCTCAGGAAGTAGAAGCTATATTGGATAGAGCATAGATTCATCATACTTCTCTGTGGGTGACTGGTACTTTCAAATTATTTGAAAACTCCCCTACTAGATCTGAGATATTGGATAAACATAAATTTTCTTTTGACTAATATACTAGTAAAACTAAGAATTCCAAGATTCTCATCTAAGTAAACACCTATACTTGTAGCACTCACTGCCTTTTCACAGAAAATTTTCAGTATGTAAAAGTTTCTTCTGAGATATTCTTAGATTCCCTTTTGTTTTCTAAGCCCTTTAGGAGGTAGGGAGGGGCTGAGATAGGCTCTTGCTATGTTGTTCAAGCTGGCCTCTAATTTGCTAAGTAATCCAGGCTGGCCCCAAACTCATGGAAATTCTCTAGCTTCAACCTCTCTTCTTTTGAGCGAAGAAATTTTGCCAGGTAACTGTATTTGTAGAGCCCCTTCTTGCAATGTGCACATTTTAATTTCAGAAGACAAGTACACATGCACGCATGTGCATGCGCACACACCCCCCCCACACACGTGCACACAAGCATGTACACACTTCTTGCCCTGGATGGCTAGTATACCTTTATCATCAAGAGTGCTCCCCCCACCACACACCCTCTGGTAGCAGCCAAGTACCTTCCTGTTTCAACTTTTTTCCACTAAAACTGTGTACTTCCCTCCCTAGGTTTTTACCTCATGATTTTTTTTTAACTTCATGACTTTTATTTATTTTTATATATATGAGTGTTTTGCCTGCATGTATGTGAGTACATCCATGTGTGCAGTACCTAAGGAGGCTAGAAGGGGGTTCAGATCCCCTGGAACTGGAATTATGGAGTCATTTACCACTGTATGGGTATTGGGAACCAAATCAGGGTCCTGAGCAAGAGCAGCCAATGTTTTTGATCTCTGAGCCAATTCTCCAACCCCATTCCTCATGATTTTTAAGGGTCTTGGGTACTTTCATTCTTTGGTCCCAGAGACTCAAGCATCCTCAGTGGGTTTAGAACACTCTCTAAACTTTCCTTTTATAACTCACTTTTGTAAAGTATCCAAATCTGTTATAGGATGGAAATAACTGAGTCTCAAACTATGATTGAGAAACTGGATATAGTGGCACATGACACACACCTGTATTCCTAGCTCATGGTGGTGGAGACAGGAGAATAAGGAACTCAAAGTCATCCTAGGCTATATAGGGAGTTCAAGTCCAGCCTGGGCTATATGAGATTGTCTCAAAAAAAAAAAAAAAAAAAGTCATTGTGATGGGAAGCAGTGAAAATCTTCAAAAAGATTCTGTTAGAAGTCTGAGAGTTTGATTCAGCTTCATATATATTTGGTATCCTAGGCAGGAGACAGGTAGAAGGTAAGCTTATGCCCAGTAAATTTTTTACCTGCCATAGGCATACTCCAAAGTAATTCTTTCATCCTCATTTTCTTTAACCAATCTTTTACCTCCACACACATATCTTGATTCTGTAGCAGTATTTGCGATATTTAAATTCAATGTCATTTAAATGTCAACTTGAGGAGAACCAGTGTTTGAGATCAAGAAAATTACACTGTCTGTTCATATTACTTACCAAATATGTCTAAGGAAGAAAGTGATGAATGCTCCATAAAAGAGAATTACTCTTAGCCAGGCTTGGTGGCACACTCCTTTAATCCCAGCACTTAGGAGGGAGAGGCAGGCAGATCTCTGTGAGATCAAGGCCAGCCTGGTCTCCATAGGGAGCCCAGGCCAGCTGGGACTATCAGGAGACCCTGTCTCAAAAAGACAAAAACAACAATAACAAAAAGAGACCAAAAAAGAATAGAATTACTTTTGTTCAGAATAATAAATAGCTGGTATGACTTGGGCACAACCAACCACAAGGAACACTTGGATTACCCGGGCTTGAGATGGAATGGAAATTGATGGGCCCTAGGTTAAGTTGCAGGGTGGGGCTGTTGCTATTAGGAAGCTCGGGGCAACTAGTTTGGAAGTATTTCAGCAACCACAGCAGCCACATCACTAGCTCCTGGCTGAGAACTACCTTGCAGTGAATTCATTTTGCTCCTCCATCATTGCATGGACACTGTCTCTCTGGAATAGTATGTGCTTAACATGATGGAAGAAAGGCTACGTGATGACTAACTTGCATGAAAAATTACACTGCATATGTACTGTATCCTTGTTTAGTAGATGGTCATTTCCAAGTTCTTCAACCTTACCAATATGCATTTGTATTCAAGATCAATTGCATGTAGATCCACTACTATACCCTACTGTCGACCGGATTTGACTGGAATTACTTTACTGGTGAGGAAGGGGCACATCTGTTGAGGGACTCACTGTGGCAGCTGCTACTATAAGTACCCCAGATGATGTCCATGCAGCTTTCTGAGGGGTTCAGGCTGTTTTCTTGGTACAGATGCAAAAGGATACACCTAGCAAGTACACACACTGCTCTAGGTCTCCCCTGGGGCTGAACCTGGCTTCTATTTCCATTCAGATGCAAGGTTCCAAGGACCCCTCCCCCTGCACATTCTAGGGACCTGGGCCAGAACTTCTTACCCATTTCATGCCACCAGGCCTGGCCCTGTATTGCTTCTTTATTGACATGTTATACAAGATGTAGCAGAGGGTCTACCTAATAGCTACTGTAATTTGAGACATTTGCAACAACCAAATGCCCTATAAAAAACGTAATGGTTTCTACTAATGATTAAGTTGTTGATCCTTATTCTGCCACTGTTTATTGCCTACATTCAAAATGGAAGGAAATACTAAATGTAAGAGGTTAATAAAAATGTGACAATAAATGTAATTTTTTTTTCTCAGCCAAGTTCTGAGTACCCTTGAATCAATTCTTTCTACCCTAGATAAGGATGCCTCAAATCCTAACACCTCACTAGAACCTCCACCCAGGAGGCGGAAGCCTTTATACCACCCACACAGACCTGAGCTATCTTAGCCAGGCAATTCTGCCTCCAACTAATCTAAGAAATTTGAGGCTAGGAAAGGGGAACAATGCCCGAACTCCAGGGCGTCACATTGAAGGGCTCATCCTTTATTACCCCGGGGGTCTTCCCAGCATTAGAACCTGGAGAAACCAAATTTTACATTTCTGCCTAGAGAAATGGGTTCTTTCCTAAGTTCTCCTGGGTGACCTAGGGTAAGGTTGAGTTTCCATTTTTCTCGTCTGTAGATGGAGAATCATCCCTTCAGAACGAGATAGTGAATGTGTTGTCTAAGTTGCACAACACTCTCAAAGTGTGTGCTATCACAATTATTTTCGACCGTTAGGTCTTTGAGGAGCCACAAAGTATGCGGCATCACTCCATCCCCAAGAGCTGGGCACGCCTTAAGCGCATCATGAACTCCTTCCTGGAGCGCGCCTTTGCCCAGGGAGCCCCAGCTTCGAGAACAGCCAGCTGGAGGCACCGCTGCCCGCACTCGGGTGACAGGTAGAAGGACTCCCTGGCTCGGGCCGCAGGGCATTCCAGCGCTGGGGTATGGAGGAGCGCCTCGGCCCGGGGGGCGTCCGCGGTGGCGCTTCCGGGCAGGTGACGCGCGGTCGGGCGGGCGGAGAAGGTGGCTGCAGCGGGCCCGGCGGCGGGTGCGCGGGGAGGGGCGGGCGGGGTGTGGAGGGGCGGGGCCGGCGTCCTCGTCACTAGATAAAACGCCTGAGTCTCCGGAGAACAACGGGCTCTTTGAGCGCTCGGGAGCAGCCGGCGACTGGGAGCTGCAGGACCGAGAGCGTGAGTCCGGTGGTAGTGCGGCGCGCAGGGGCGAGAGCGCGGAAGGTGGCCCGCGGCGCGCCAAGCAGCCCGGCCCCGGCCCCGGCCCGGGCCCCGACCCCGCGGAGAGCGATCGCCGCAGGTCCCCGCGCCCTCCCGCTGCGCCCGCCCATGGCGGCCGCGAGCCAGCTGTGCCTGCTGTACCTGTCGGCCGGGCTCCTGGTGCGGCTCGGCGCAGCCTTCAACTTGGACACCCGCGAGGACAATGTGATCCGGAAATCGGGAGACCCCGGGAGCCTCTTCGGCTTCTCGCTCGCCATGCACTGGCAGCTGCAGCCAGAGGACAGGCGGCTGTGAGTTTCCCGACTCTTCCCACCCCCATGGGGCGCCGCGCCGGGCCAGGAGGGAGCGAGGGCGCCCCCTGTTCCCGCCCGCCCCGCGCCCCGCGCCCGCCTGCCGGCCCTGCCCTGCCCAGCCCTGCCCAGCCGCACTTCGCCGGCCCGCGGCCAGCCGCGCCTACCGCGCCCGCACTGCGACCCGGAGCCCGGAGAGCCCGAAGGCGGACCCCAGGCCCGGCCCCGCGAGAGTTTACTTTTTCCCCCCTCCCCTTCCGAAGTGCTTTCCTCGATTCTGCCCTCTGGGTTACTTTGCTGGAACCCCGGCAGGTGGCACGCTTTGCTGAGGCTCACGTGTGTGGCAGGGACGCGGAGTGGGTCGCAGGGAAGCGTAGATCTAGGATGATACAGGCGGTTCTCAAACTCTACCGCACGCCCTGTCCCCTCGCGCCCCTGGGCGCCTTGTGGAAGTTCGGAAGCCACTTTTGGTTGTGTTCATTGTGACTTTGCCTGCTGAGTGGGCGCTTCTGCAGGAGATGCTTTTACATGCTTTTTAAAAAAAAAGATGGAATTAACCGAGCACCTGTTGGCAGGGCACAAGCCTGGTGTGCCTGCTTCCCCTCCCAGAGCCCTGATTGCTCTAGGTGCCCAAGACTTCAAGGTTTGGAAGTGGCAACCCCTCGGGGAGCTGTGTTCCTTCCGGGAGAAAGTGACCTGCTCTCCTTTTTAAACAGTGTGTTTCCCACATGACCCAACTCTTTTGATTGGAGAAGGTGTTTCTGGAGATTAGTCGCCTTAATCGCAGTGAGGCTGCATTCTTGATACCGGAAAGCATTCGGACAACAAAAGGTCCTCTCCACCCAGGCCTTTAGTTGAACCCAGGTCCTTCCAGAACCAACGGAAAGCAAAGTGCAGCCGCAGGAAAAAAAGGAGATTGTTTAGGAGAGGGCGGTGTGATTTTAGAACTGGAGAAAACCCCGATTTCAGCTGTTTAACAACTTTGGATTTTGTGGTCCTCAGAATCTCAAGGTCAGATTTTTCTGGTAACACCTGTTAGGTGAAGCAAAAAGTTCAAGCAGGGGGTCAGAGTGTGCAGGCCTGGCTAGCCTCTTGTAGTCTGCTTTCTCTCAGAAATAATTGTTGGTAAGCTCCAAATCTGAACTGAAAGGTGGTTTATGTCAACTCGGTTAATGGATGACATTTCATGTCCCTCAACACTGTATGGTAGACACACATCTACCCACATGGAGGATTTGAACTTGTTAGAGCAGAATTGTGGACCGGAAGAGGGAATGCCCCTTGGTAGTCACTCTGCACCAGAGGCCACAGGCATGTCCAAGCAGACATTGTGGTGGGGAAGATTTGGGGCAAGAAATGTCCTCAGGATGGAGATTTGCAATCGCTCATGCCTTTAGCCAGGAATCTCTGTTGTCATTATGGTGAGCAACAGCAGGCCTGCTAAAACTTGTCACTGCTGCTGGGCTTCTCTGGTGTTAGAGCTGCCACAGGTCTTCCTGAGAGGGAAAAGAGGCTGTGATTAGGGGCTCATGGGAAAGAGTACTGGTCAGACCCTCAGATAAATAAAGGCCCACCTTAAGGGGACTGTCTTTTCCTAGAGCCCAGAGGTAGAAACTACACTCCAGGGGGCTGTGGCTTGTGTCTAGTATTGTTAACCCCCACCCCTTTAGAAAGTTTTCCAGGTTCTGGAATTGCATTGGTCCTACCTGGAGAATCAGCACATGCAGCCCATATCACACCCATTCCTCCCTTTTATAGAAAAGGATGTGGATGTAAGTGACAGAGTCACTGAGGCTCCTGGTCCAGTTTCCAAACTTGATGGGAACATCTCAGGGAGCTGGTGAGAGAGAGCTAAACTCAGATTTCTTCTTGGCTATTTAAACAACTATTCATTTACTTTGAACTGTAGTTTCTTTACCTGTAAAATGGAGATTTTACTACTTAACAGGGTTAGTGTGAGGATTAAAAGGATGGGCATACTGCTCAGTGCTTACCCAGCACAGATTAAATGGAAAATAAATAAATGGTAATAAATTTAAAAGCAGTAACTGGTCATTCTGTGTTATGTGTTAAATACTGTAGAGGTGTTGTGAGCATTTTGTGATTCAAAGATGGCCTAACAATAAAACCAGAGGCTTTTGTTTGGGTAATTAATATCCTAAACTCTCAAATCACATTTATGAAATCAAAAGCAAACACTGAACAAGTGACTTTGAGGCAGAAGATAATGTGGTGGTGATATGAGGTAAATGCACAGTTACAGGAAGCTCACCATGGGTTTTTGTGTTTGAAATTTTCTACACTATATTTAATAACATCATTAGTTAGGATTGTATAATGGAATAATACTATATCTGAGAGTCTCCAAAACACAAAATATTCCTGAAGTTTTGGGAACTATCACCTTGAATTAGATACTTTGAAACTGTACCCAGGTTTCCATGCTGTATGTTGAAGAAGTTTCAGATTCCCAGAGATCATTAGGTGGATAGCCGAGTGACTGAGGTTGGATAGGAGCGCTTTGATTTTGAGCTTTTCCTAGGTAGGTGGGGTTGAGTCATCTCTAGAGGTGGAAGGTGGATGGTGATGACTGTGGGTAAATCCATCCTGTGAATCACTCAGCTCTTCTGGGAACAGAGGGAGCTGTGTGTGATCACAGGACAGAACCTGGAAGGAGATGCCTCATGGAGAGATTCTCCCTCATTCCCAATCTTCATTTTCTTCTTTTGGGTCTTCTTTCTCAGTGTTTTGCACTTCTCATTGTCTTCTAGAAACTTTCCAGACCTTTTACTTCTTTTCTCTTTTGGTGTTTGTTGTTGGTTTTACTCAATCTTGTGATAGATAGTCCAGCTTTAAAAATATTTTCTGAACTAGGGATAACCTAGTCCAATGGTCTACTTTTTTTTTTTTTTTTTTTTTTTTTTTTTTTTTTTTTCTAGCCAATTCCTACCTCCTATTCTTATCATACCATCCTTTTTTTTGTCTTTTTGAGACAGGGTCTCCCTGTAGCCCCAGCTGTCTGTCCTGGAACTCACTATGTAGACCAGGCTGACCTTGAACTCACAGAGATCCACCTGCCTCTTGCCTGGAATTAAAGGCGTGTACCACCACGCCCGGCTAATGGTCTACTTTTATAGATGAAGAAACTGAATGTCATGAAATCTCTTGTCCAGAGTCTCATAGCTGCTTAAGCAGAATCTTAACCAAATCTGGATTTGAAGGTAGTATTTCTAGTTCATGCTATGCCATCCCTAAGAGGATAAGTCAGAAGTGTCCTTCAGGCCTGCAGAAATTGGCAAGCCACTGAGTTTTGGAAATGTATTATATTGTGTTGATTCATTAAACTGCCTCCCATATAGGTCAGGGCTATCTATTTAAGTATCAGTGCTTGTAGTCTCTTCCTATTGACCCTTATTCCAACTGGCTATGGATCAAGCTCTGGGCCCTTCCTAAGCCCTGTGATATGTGACTGTCCCTACCCAGGGGTCAGAGCAATGTCCAGGATGTGCACATAAGCACTTGCTTCCTTGCATTCATTCACTCCAACAGAGTGCCAATATGGCTTAGCACCATCTTCCAAGAACTGCTGGATCACCTGGAGCCCTGAGAATGGAAGGAAAAAAACACAGTGGATAAGGACACTTAGAGCAAATCTTAGGGTTATATAAGAAAGCAGAAAAAGACAAGTAGAATTTTAACACAGGCCAATATAAGACCATCCAAGTAATAATGGGGTTGGACAAATAGGGTCAAAGTATTTATATACTATAAATTATTAGTTGGGAAAGTCAGGTTAAATGTACAAAGAAGTGGTCTGTGTTCTTAGATATATGGATTATTTTAGTCTATGGCCGTACTACCCTGAATGCGCCTGATCTCCTCTGATTTTGGAAGCTAAGCAGGGTCGGGCCTGGTTAGCACTTGGATGGGAGATATATGGATTATTTTAGCACACAATATATTATGATTTAAGTTTTTGCATTGGAAAGTACTGGAATTCTGGTGCATGAACCCAAGGACCTGGGTTCAGCATGTTACTATGACTAGTATGAACAATGAATTATAGGGCATTTTCAAGAGGGCCAATGGAGGTAAAACAGAAAATACTATCATATGCTGAGATGTCTGTGTCAGGTGTGCCTGCAACAGTGGTTTGTGCTGAGTCGGCACATCTCAAGAAACTATCAGATCTCAAGAACTATCCCATCCTGCAGAGTTTCTTCATCCCTTGAACATGGGCAACACATATCTAGAAGTTCTGAGGTTTAAGCTGTATCCATCTTCAAAGACTGATGTAAATCTCTAACTGGGTTCTAGGCTCTGTGAGGACAGGGACCGTGAGGCTCATTTTTGCCTGAGAACACCCAGGGTATGCCTTCCAGATACAGTGGAGTCATATCTTACACTCAATTTAACTCGTGAAATCAGCTCTTCCTGCTAAATGTAGAGGGAGGGAGCAATCCCTTTATTTAACTCTTTGCCATTCCCTGCTCAGGGCTTGTGACTGCTGTCCTCAGGGAAAGAGAAGCTAGAGAAGCTATAGGTATGATGCATCCAGACACACAAGCTAATTCTTGGTTTTTGAGTTTTGACATCACAGCTAAGGGATTTTCGTGAGTGATTTTTTTTTTTTTTTTTTTAAATTACACTTGACTTTTGCCCTAAAAGCAGACTTTAGAACTTAACCCTAGAAATACAAGCTGACCTGTACTGCAGTGAGTGCTCAGGACTTGCTGAGTTGCCTGGTTGTGTGGTGAGTCTAGCCCAGACTATGGAGTAGTGCTCCTGAAAGCAACAAGGTGTGGGGATCAAAGGGGAGTGCATGTGGGGCACCTGTAAACTGATAGTGATTTGAGGATAGTAAGGCAGTCTTGGGTATGTTTAACTCCTTGACTGCAGTGTTGAGAGGCTGTTTAACCCTTTTAAGGTGCCTAAGAGCCACAGAATGGACATCTTGGGATTGGTGTGACACTTCCCCCAACTTCTGGGAAAATGGTAAG